GTCTAACCATGTCAGGGTAGCCTGTAGACAGGCTCTCCAGGGAACAGCTTAAAGAGGATCCAGGAGCATCCTGGGAGGAGCAGTGGGAGATGCTGACAGCCAGCCTCTAAGCCTGAGGCCCTGAAGCCACTGGGGAACAGAAACTCTTTTTTATCCTCTCATGGGCAATGTGGTTGGTGGGGAAAGAGTTCAGGGAAAGAGGAGGGAATAGAAGAGCCCAGGTTTATTCTGTGGACATCGGCTGGGGTCTGAGAGAGAGGACAATTCTGGATGCAGTGTGAGATGCTTCCCTCGATTGCCTTCTGATCGAGCCCTCAGAAACTCATGCCAAATTTCTAGGGAGAAAAACGCTGTAATAGAAAGGAAGCTAAATAAAGAGCTATTATCACTAGAAGCACAGCAAGGAACTGACATCAGACAGCTCCGCCTTGCATGAGGAAAAAAATACCTCACTTCAGAACCAAGAACCTTGCCAATACTGAGAAAGTGGATTGAGGGGTCAGGCTGGGCAACAGGGGGCAGTGTCATGCACTTCTAGGTGGAAGGTGGAAGTCATGATAAAATGATCTGCAGAGAAAAGGGGACAGGGTGGAGGCATCCAGGACAACAGCTAGGAGGCAGAGCTGAGATGGAAACCACACTGGGTGGCCCAATTGTAAAGGGCATCCTCTAATCCTCTTACTCGGTGACTGCCCATTTCAGGCCAAACCACACTGACCAAGATAAGTTTCACTGATATTTCCTAGACAACACTAATTTTTGTTCTTCCTCATATGCAACATTTCTGAAAATTCAATTGATTAAACATGCAAATGAATATAGTATTAAATACGTCTTAGTATTTGCTAAGATAAAGAAAATTATAAATAAGAAACTTATTTGACTTGATTATGAAATTTAACTTATGTAAATACATGTGTTTTATTATATAAGCAATTGATATCCATTAGAGCAGTGGTTCTCAACCTTCCTAATGCCCCGACCCTTTAATACAGTTCCTCATGTTGTGGTGACCCCCAATTTCATTGTTACAAATTGAACATAATTAAAGCATAGTGATTAATCACAAAAACAATATGTTATTATATATGTGTTTTCCTATGGTCTTAGGCGACCCCTGTGAAAGGGTCGTTCGACCCCCAAAGGGGTCGAGACCCCCAGGTTGAGAACGCTGCATTAGAGGAAAGATTCTGGATTATCCTATCAGCTTGCATAAAGTTATAAAAAGGATTTTGGAATGATATTCTGGTATATTACTCCACCAAACAAACAAAGAAACAAAAACACCATTTGAGAAAAATGTAGAAAACAAAAGTCAAATGGTTAAATTAACAATGCTAAACCCATGCAAGGATTATTATATAACAATTAAAATGTTTTTCTTAATCTGTAATAATTTGTAAGAACAAGTATAATAATAAATGGGAAAAGGTAAGTTATATAGAGTATGAAGAGGAAAGGCACACCTTCATTTTTAAGATCTAAAATTACAAAAGATGATAGATGAAATAATAGACTGTTTTCTTTTTCTACTTTACTTTCAATTTCTTTAATGATCATCCATTACTGTAACAACCTACAAATAAGTTCAGGAGAAAGAATATAGCTTAGTTTTTATTTTAATAATATGTGTGAAAAAAGCCAAATCTTCACAGGGCTTAGAATTAGGGAAAAAAAATTGACTTTACAGATCTAGAAAAAAACTGCTTTGAATCCAATAACCCGTGCCTTAGCGTGTAAATCACCACTTTTTTCTCACCATTTTTTTCTCCCACATTATCTGGAGCAGATAATTGAACAATTGGAGAACTGTGTGCCTGTTGGTTATGTTGCTGAAAGGAGGATCTTGGTAAAAGTTTACTGATGGAACAATAAGGCCCTTACTGCTGGATCTTTCCCAAAATTTAATCAACCTACTCAATGCACAAAAGCACAAAACAATGTTCAGAGGTTTAAATCCAACCCTAGCAAGGAGACTCCCTACATACCATCCTTTTTCTTACCAGTAACATTTGCCCATTAATGGCTTAAGACTAAACATTGATACTGGCATTAATTGTATGTTAAATGTGTGATTAATTTACTTTTGATCAACAGGTATAAAAATGCTTCTGGAAGGCGATCTATGTCATCATTAATAGGAGTGTCTTTGTTTAGGGTACTAGCTGGCCACACCAGAAAGAACAACCATGTGATTTAGGGTGAAGACTTTGAGTCATGTGGTATCAGTTGATGTGGAGACTGAATTCAATCATGTGGGTAATCAATCAATCTATTATTCCTATGAAATGAAGCTCCAACAAAACTCTGACACCAATTCATGGATATTGTCAAATACTGATGCTGGGATGGTAATGGATCATTACTCCATGGGAGAGGACAACGGAAGCTTTGCCTTAGGAACCCTCCCAAGCTGTGTCTAATGTTTCCCTTCCTTTGGCTGATTTTAATATGTATAATTTCCCTGTCATAAATCATGATTGTAAGTATAATAATAACTTTCAGTGAGTGCTATGAACCCTTCTAGTGAACTACAAAATTCACTAGGCTTGGGTGGTTTTTGGAATCTTCCAAACTTCCTGGTAGTGTCAGAGTGATAGCTGTCTTGGAGAGTGTGCCCTCAAACTTTGCAGTTTGACCAACTGCAGTCATGTAGAAAATACGTAAAAATGGGTGTGATAATTTGGTCCTCACGCCATGTTTTGCCAACCACTGTTCTAGCTCATTAAAATATCTGTACAGTGTAAGTGTACATATAATTTATTGTGATGAATGTAAAATTCATAATTGTGTTCAAACAAGCTATATCTTACCAATCAAAATAGATTCTTTAATTGTCAAAATTTGCAGAAATTTTATATATACACAGAATAACTGAACTGCAACATATTTGTGACAAAATTGATGCTGAAAATAAAAAGATACTTATTTTTTTATGTGCACTTTCCTCTTAGCTGCCCATATTAAATTACATTTTTAAAAATGTTTGTGCCTTGCCTTACCCAGTTTGGCTCAGTGGATAGAGTGTCAGGCTGTGGATTAAAGGGTTCTGGGTTTGATTCTAGTCAAGGGCACGTACCTTGGTTGCAGGCTCCTCCCCAGCCAGGCCCCTGGTGCGGGGGGAGAGGAGGGAGAAAGCATGCAACAGGCAACTCATCTATGTGTCTCACATCGATGTTTCTCTCTCTCTCTCTGTCTCTCCCCTTCCCACTCTCTCTAAAAAGCAATGGCAAAATATCCTTGGGTGAGAATTGAAAATAATAATAATAAAATAAATAAATAAACAAACAAATAAATGTTTGTGCCTTTGAAGAACTACAGTACTTTGCAAATCAACTTAAGTTTCCCACCATGCTATAGTAGAAAGCAAATAATCCCTTCCGCATCTGTTTAAGACTCCTAAGCAGCATTATAGGAATTATGACATGACAGCAACAAAAACCACAGAATTTTCCCAAGAAACAGGAGAAATTTGTACCTTTGGCCCATAAACAAAGCGATGCCAAACAATACCTGTTTTAACATATAAACATTTGTTTCCATGTCTTGATGGTCAACTTGTCCCTTCAATCTTGTCAAAGAGATTGTAGAGAGAAACTCATATGGGAAGCAGGCTGCATTCGTTTTAAATCTGGTTTTCATTTGGTATAAACTCAATTTTCTGTGTTTATCATATTCTGCTCAATATTAGGCATTTTGGAGATGGTAATAATCTCACTATTTTATAATTAACTATTAACCATGGGTAATTTATTTCTTCAGTTGCATTTTCTATAGTAGTTGTAAAGTACCACAAGCTGTTACAATTTAATTGCCAAGTTAGCCTAGCTGGCATGAATGACTCTTCTTATGTGACTGACATCTACAACTAAAATATCTGCTGGCTAGATAGTCCCATCTATATAATATCAAAACATGGCCTAACCCCTAGTCAATTTCCCCCCTTTGGAGGTGGGGAAGCTGTTTCACATTGGCAATAGTGTCCACTTGCACTCAGCTTATTGCCTTTCATGTGACGCTCTACTCAGCCAGAATGCCAATTTAATTTTCTGATAACTACCACCAAGCTGACTTCAGGAAGAGTACAGAAGGAGGAAAATTCACACTCCTAAACTACTGTCTCAGCTATAAACACAGCCCCATTCCTAATTCCCCACATGAAGAACCTTGGACTGTAGCACTTAAAAAATTTACTGAAGGCTCAAAAATATAAAAAGAGAATTAGAACATACAAAAGAAAAAAATATAAAATGGAAATTTAAGTATTGGTCCTAGAGTCAGTCAGCCACTGCCTGCACTAAGGATCCTCTGCAGCCATTTCCCTCATTAGTCCTCAGTGTGTCACAAGTAGCCAAGGTCATCCTGTCATCTACGGTTATGTGTCTCTATCATGTCCTCCTCAACCAGAGTCTGGTCCTGTTGCCATCAACCAAGAGAGAAGATGAAGCCCTTTCTTCCTCTAATCTAACCTGAGGCCACCTTTATTTTTATAAATCATTTTAAGTATTTAATTACAAAAGTGAGCACTGACTTTCTTTTCTCTTTTAGACACACACACAGGTCTAATGGCCAAAATGTGCAGAGGAAGTGAGCTCCTGCTCTGCCCTCCACAGTACCCATCCTGCGGTTAAAACTGCTGCCAGCCCTCCCTCGTTTCCAACAGACATAGAAATCCACAGTGGCTGCTTTCCAGCTACAGCTGTAATGCATTTTGTGTTTCATATAGTGTGCATGTCAAAACAAAACGGTCGTTAATGGTCAGGGGTACATCCTTCCCACTGGCATCAGTTCCTACTCCACAAGCAGACACTGAGGAGACCTGGTTAGGAGTAACTTAGGGAGAGGCAGGATGGCTGGAGTTGGAGTGACCATCTGCATCGATGCACTGTGCTGTCAGAGTGAGGAGAGAAGTCAGTCAGGAAGGCTTGGAGGGCACAGTTGCAAGTTGGGAGTCTCTCCATGAGACAATGAAGGGGAAATTTTCCCCAACCAGGTTTTTGGTGCCAAAAAAAAGAAAAAGAAAAAAATCAGTTCAAACAGTATTGAATTTGCAAACTTCTCCCACCAAGACAGGTCAAATAGAGCAGTAACAATCTAGATCTTTCCAGGAAGTGAAGGTAGAGCCCCTGGCATTCCTCCTGACAGCCCTGTTAGGCCCTAGGAGTATCTGCCGCTGCTGCAGTTGCTGCTGTTGCTCCATTTGCAACTTCTCAGTCTCAAAGAGAACAGGAAGAACCAGGATCATGAAGGAAGGTGTCCCGATCCATAAGGCTGTCCTGGAAACCTGTACATTTTTTTGAGCCACAAAGAGGGAGAGATCAAAAGTGGCTCCGGCTGCGGACCAGATCCTCTCTGCCGTCAGACCCCAGAGTCTCTCCGAGAGGGTCTCATCGGGCTCATCCTCTTCCAGCTCCTCCTCAGTCTTCTCCACATCACCTTTCGGAAGCAATTTGTCGGGGGGCAGGGAAGCACCTGGACCAGGGGTAGCGACTATGGCAGCCATGGCTGTAGGGGGGACCACCTTTATTCTTTCTCCAGAAGAGATTTCCTAATCCACACTCTCAGAGATCCTTTGGTCCCCCCCTAACCTATGAAAAGTGACAAGTACACATAGTTGACAGTACGGCTCCCAACATCTGGCTTATCCATTTACAAGTGGCATCATATGTGAGGCATTAATGATCCACTATGTGGTAGGCTGTAACAATCCAGTGCAGTTTCATTTCATGGTCTTTCTTTCATGCAGTAAGGAAGAAATTAGACCTATGTGTCCCCTTTGGCATGGTCCTAGTCTCATGATTTCTTGTGAGGAAATCCTATATAATAAAAGGCTAATACGCAAATCAACCGAACAGCGGAACCACTGGTCACTATGATGCATACTGACCACCAGGGGGCAGACACTCAACACAGGAGCTGCCCCCTGGTGGTCAGTGCACTCCCACAAGGGGAGCGCCGCTCAGCCAGAAGCCAGGCTCACAGCTGGCAAGCGCAGAGGTGGTGGCGGGAGCCTCTCCCGCCTCTGCGGCAGTGCTAAGGATGTCTGACTGACGGCTTAGGCCCGCTCCCTAAGCCGTCAGTCAGACATCCCCTGAGGGCTTCCGGACTGTGAGAGGGCGCAGGCCAGGCTGAGGAACCCCTCTGAGTGCACAAATTTTGTGCACTGGGCCTCTAATAACTGAATAAAAAGGCACTCTCATCTCTCAAGAACAATTCTTTTCAATTGAGTACAAAGATTTTTTCCTCCTAACTCTGTAGTAGCCTCATTCTAGAAAGACATAGAATTTATATTTCTAAACAAAATTTATCTCAATTGGAAACATCTGCATTCTGTTTGGTGTGTCCATAAGAACAATGGCTAGGTACTTGTTTGTAACAAAATGATTTTAGAAGTTCATCAAAGGAGCCACACCCAGAACAAAGAGAAGTGAAGACCCATGCGGGAGGCAAAGACCAACAAGTAGTTAGCATAATTATGCAAGAAGTCTACTGGAAGGCTAATGGACTTTGATATTCAGCAAGGGCTGAAAATCAGCATAATAATGCCCTGCTTTTGGCCAAATGGCTGAAAGCAATCCCCTAACCTGGTAATCCTTTTATTGTTTACCAAACTTTACCATTGATATGCCTGTTTGCTTTGCTAAAGGGCAAATGTGTATTCTAGTCAATAAAAGCTAATGGGTCTGGGGATTCAGAGAGCCTCTCCGCTAGAGAGTAAGGTCTCCGCCTGGCTCCTCATGCCTTCTAAATTTATATTTCTTGTGTAGTGTATCTGTTTGTACATCAGCCCCTTCTCTAGATCCTGAATCCTTGCTGGAAAAGGTTGCAGTAGACCCAGGCTTAAGGAAAAATTCCAGGATCCAAGAAACAGCTCACCACTGTCCTAACTGGTTTTCCAGTTTCACCGATTTCCCTGAGGCACCAATTACACTGGTGTGTGATTATAGTCCAGCTGGTTGAAATCTCTGTTGATTTAGTTACCCAGAAGGGCAGTTAGTTCTTACAGAGGCCAAAGTCCAGTGAGAAACATGTTTATGTTTTTCTATTTCAAACAGCACTTCTTTCCTGACAATATTTACTTTATTCTGCTGCAGAAATGTTTATAAATATACCTCCACCTAGAGATATAGGTGGAAATGCAGGCACATTGATATTGTGTGGATATTCAAACAACATATGTGTGAATAAAATAAGAAATATTATCAAGTAAAAACTATTGAATATTAAGAGAAAAATTGCAGTAGTATATAGCCTATGTAAGGCCCTAGATGTGGCCTGATTTGTCTATGAGTGACCTCCTTTGACCAAAATATGTCTATTTCATAATCTTTATAAAAAACCATCTTAGCCCAGCCGGCATGGCTCAGTGGTTGAGTGTCGACTTATGAACTAGGAGGTCCATGGTTTGATTCCTGGTTGGAGCACATGCCCTGGTTGCAGGCTCGATCCCCAATGTGGGGCGTGCAGGAGGCAGCCGATCAATGATTGTCTCTCATCATTGATGTTTCTCTCTCTCTCCCTCTCCCTTATTCTCTGAAATCAATACAAATACCTATCTATCTACCTATCTATCTATCTATCTATCTATAACCATCTTAAAGACCAACAACATAAAATATAACTTAAAAAAAACCTATATTTTTGGATTTATACATTGTTTAAATGTGACCAATTTTTATGAATTATATTTCTTTAAGTTTATTTTGCAATTATGCTCCTAGATTTTTAGGTAAATGCTTAGTTATTAACTTAAAATGTTTTTGCAATGATAAAATTATTTAATCTATGAATTGTCCTCTAAACATAAGAACCACTCCCACTTGTTTTAAGTGTGGTATTACCATTATTATTAATGTCCAAATTATCAGTTATTTCCATTTTAATTTTATTTTTTGGACCCAATAGTTATTTAGGAAGGTGTTTTTAAATTTCAAAGTGGTTAGTTTTTTACTGCATTTTGTGATCTGAGTATGTAGCCAATACAAATTATACCCTTTGCACTATTTCGTTTTCAGCCTAAAATATGACCAATTTTTTGTAAATATTTCATGGTAATATAAAAAAGTAAGTGCTTATATGGTACATGTATATTAATATTTTTATTTTTTTAATATATTTTATTGATTTTTTACAGAGAGGAAGGGAGAGGGATAGAGAGTTAGAAACATTGATGAGAGAGAAACATGGATTCAGCTGCCTCCTGCACAATCCCCACTGGGGATGTGCCTGCAACCAAGGTACATGCCCTTGACCCGAATCGAATCTGGGACGCTTCAGTCTGCAGGCCGACGCTCTATCCACTGAGCCAAACCGGCCAGGGCTATATTAATATTTTTAATAAAATAAAATGTATTAATCATGCAAAAGGGGTTCAATAGAAGATTGAACTGGCAGAAGAATGAATCAGTGAGTTGAGAAAAATGAATCAGTCAATTGTGATCTTCCAGTCTGAGGAGCAGTTTACATCCAGATTCTTTGTCTGTGTTTTCCAAGTTCTGAAATTCTTGCTACCCTATACTTACCAAATTCCATCTATTCTGCCCTTGTAACGTAAGACCTTCACATTTTTAATGTTTAGCCAGTTTAGGGTCTTTACCATGGCCAAGTATCATAGGAAAAGACAATCAGCACATGCAGCATGTTCTGCAACCTCTTTCTCAGCTTCTGTTTCTTTTTAGTCCCCCAGGCTACCTTCTCACCCTAGGACCTAAGTCATCTGCACTCTCTCAACTGCTCTTTGCAGATACAGGCAAAAAAAATTTTTTTTTAATTAATTTCTTTCTTCAACTAATAGTTTTGCAAGTAAATTACAGTTTGACCCTTGGCTCAATACTTTGGAAATATTTTTAAATCATACAAATAGCTGCTCCAACCAGCTTTTCTGTGCCTTTCAGTAAACAACTAAGTTTGTAATCTGGGCAAAGCAGATTAAACATGTGTGTGTGTGTGTGTGTGTGTGTGTGTGTGTGTGTGTGTTCTATGAAATAGGGTTAGAAAACACGTGTAGTCATTGATTTGACATGTGACCCAAGCCTCTTGTCACATGTCACATTTCTCTGGTATTGTTCCCTTTTGTTCTTTAGGAAAGTGCTTATCCACTATTTATAATGATCTTGCTTTATAATGTTATACCTTCCTTTCCCAAAACCTATTTATATACCGCTAAATCAAGCTGTGGTAAGACACCACTTTTTCATTTGACTCTGATTCTACATAATAATTTCCCATTTGAAACAACAATTATTTTATCAAGAAGAAACAGCTGCAAACACAGCAATTCCTCTGAACTACCATTAACACATGTTCCCTGCTGTCAAGCCAGATGTTTAGCTCTAAATACTGAGCTTTCTGTTTAAATGAGTAGGAAGCCTGGAGATGAGTAGAGACTGGCTGCACTCCCCCGAGATGGGGGTGCAGCCCCTGTGCCAGGCTCTCTGATACTGGAAACACTGGAAATACCCTTCCCATCATTCTTTGCCTCTTGGCCCTATTCTCCCTGGACTTCTTGTCACTACTTCCTTGTTAAGTTCTCAGAAGCCAGTTGTATCACCTGAGTTCTACTGTTTAGATTCCTCATTCTAGAAGATCATTGCAGTGTTACAAAAAGTCATAGAGTCAAAATTACTAATGCATGAATGTTCATAGCTTCTTTCCCACTCCCACAAGCAAAGTAAAACTCTGTAGTTATTAATTCTCTAGGCATTTTCCCACTTACCTTTCTCTTGGACCTTATTAGAGATGTGGGGGCAGGAGGAAGGAAGTCAGACTTGTTGATTGTGTTGAAAAGCTGTGGTTGGGAGTTGACAGTGGGGGAGAGAGTTTTCAGGAGCAGCTGCTTCCATGTGGAAAATATTGAGAATGGCAGAGGTTTAGACAGAGGGTTTTTCAGTGCATTAGCCATGCCTGCTAAAATTTATATGAGAATTATGATTATAAAATAGAAGGTAATGTTTTGAACTGGGGTAGGATAAAGAGATTGGAGGGAGTGTAAAGATGCTACTGTTCTCATTTTTTAGCAGAAAGTCATTAGTCATTGATGATATATCCAATTAAAATGTGTGTGTGTGTGTGTGTGTGTGTGTGTTTTAAAAAGGACAGTGAATCCAGCCTTTTAACATGTTAGAGTATTTAGAGTCCTGCAGGAAATAATATATTTTATGGCAAAGAAATATTTATTTACAGCCCTAGCTGGTTTTGATCGGTGGTTAAAGCATCGGCCAACAGACTAAAGGTTCTTGGGTTCAATTCCAGGCATGTACCTGGGTTGCAGGCTCAATCCCCACCCCAGTCAAGACCTGGGGCATGTGAGGAGGGCAACCAATTGATGTGTCTCTCTCTCATTGATGTATTTCTCTCTCTCCTTCCTTCCACTCTAAAAATCAATAAAAAAATATCCTTGGGTGAGGATTAACAACAACAACAAAATTATTTCCAGTTCAACAGTTTCTTTTAATTTTTCTTTCTTTGTGAAATTCTATTATTTGAATTCCCTGAAACAAGTAT